ACTTTTATATTTATTTTATAATCAACGTTGTACTATGACGGAAAGACGTTCTGGCTACTTTGTGACACGGATGATAAAACGTTGTCATTGATCGTGACATGCGTTAACACATGCTATTCTACCTTCCAACACAAGAGCGTTGTTCTACCTCCCAACACCGGAACGTTATTCTACCTCCCAACACCGGAACGTTATTCTACCTTCAAACACCGGAACGTAATTCTACCTTCCAACGCAGGAACGTTATTCTACCTTCCAACATCGGAACGTAATTCTACCTTCCAACGCAGGAACGTTATTCTACCTTCCAACGCTGGAACGTTATTCTACTTCCCAACGCTGGAACCCTATTCTACCTTCCAACACCGGAACGTAATTCTACCTTCCTACGCAGGAACGTAATTCTACCTTCCATACGCAGGAACGTAATTCTACCTTCCTACGCAGAAACGTAATTCTACCTTCCAACGCAGGAACGTTATTCTACCTTCCAACGCTGGAACGTTATTCTACTTCCCAACGCTGGAACGCTATTCTACCTTCCAACACCGGAACGTAATTCTACCTTCCAACGCAGGAACGTTATTCTATCTTTTAACGCAGGAAGGTTATTCTACCTTCCAACACAAGAACGTTATTCTACCTCCCAACACCGTAAAGTTTTTTTACTTTCTAACACAGGAACGTTATTCTACCTTCCAAAGCAGCACCGTTATTCTACCTTCCAACGCAGGAACGTTATTTTACCTTTCAACACCCCTTTGCGTCATCGCTGATACATCATTTTGTTTGCTCTTTACATCGTTTATAGATTCTTTATTTGTTCTGTCTCTGCTTCGAAACTTTACGCACATAAATATTGCTGATAAGCATTAGTCTCTGCCAGTGATAAGCCGGTGTTTGCCCCCTACCAATATGTTTTATTGCACATGATATGAATGTCATGAAATTGTTCCGATTCATTCGATTTCTAGAATTTACTGCAGTTCTACAACCATGGATTTCAAATGGAATGTCGTCGCTTGAATTCCAATTCCACCGAGCCTCATAAAATGACAAACTGTTTTTTCGGTTTATAAATTTATTTTGTATTGCTACGCTAAGGCCATTTGTGTACTATATAACAACTGACTTCTGCATTCCTTAATTAGATTAGGTTGGCAATCCGATTTGTTTTATTTTTGCCAAGCTGATCGTGCAAAATTTTTTCGTTTCTTAATTAAAACGATACATGGCTAATTTACTCAAAAAGACATTTTTTCAGCTATAGTAATGTGCGTTTGCCTAAATTTGACTGTTAAAAATATTGAAATCAAAATTAAAAATACATAGTCAATTTACTTATACTATCAAATTTTTGTAGTTGTTTCTGGATTATATGAATGTTCTTGTAAGTCTTGACTATTGAAAGAAATATAATCCCATTTCTAAAAGGGTCATCGATATTGTGTTGTAATTTCAACTTGACAAATAACTCCCGTATAGTATGATATTTTGTGAACGCTGTCCAATCTCTATAAATACCCAGAAATTTTAGAATTATTTTAAATACTTACGTTTGACAGTTCAATTCGATATGTTATAATGTTATTTTCTTTATTGACCGGTCGTACTAAATTTACTGGAAAGTCGGAAAAAGCGGCCTAAAGTTAGCTGACATGCAAACTAGTGTGACTGAAAATTTGCACCCATTTACATCAATCATAGGTTAACAAGTATAAAGCACAGACACCGTCGTCATCAGTTAAGCTGAAGCTTGCTGGACTAATTTAAACTTACTTGCTATGTCAGTAATTAGGTGCTAACGTGGTTTTAGTCCGTATAGTATAAATTGAGTATTACTTTCACCTTTTCAGAATATAATTTTATCGCTTTAGGTAGCTTATCTTTTCGGTGGGCTACTTATCACTTCTCAGTGTTTTCACTGTGGGGTTCCCATTCTCATGTTAGAGATAGGTAAAGTTGAATTTAACATGCAAGCTCGTGTGCAGCTTAAAGCCGAAAACTTATTTATCGAACGGACAAAGTAATTATTTTGCCTCGTTAAGACTCGCACATTAATTTTGACCCTACCGCTGCTCGCTGGGTCGTCATTTACAATGACATCGAACATACACGAGGATTCTCCGCGGCAAATTTATTTTAATTTGGCTTCTCATTTCAATGGGAGAAGTGAGGTCCTAATTTGAATCATCAATGAACTTGTGATAGTGGTGCTGAATTTTTATCTGAGAGCCTCCGAGCCAGTCAGTCGTCTGCTTAGCTCGGCCCGCTCGACCTTACCACTGCGCAACCTTGAACATTCTTGCCATGTTCCCAACATGTCAATTGGATTGCAAAAATGTGAACTTGAATAAAAACATTTTTGACTGGTACTAACGATCTTTTTCATGTCTCTAGTGCGAAGTTATTCGTTCGATTTGATATGATTCCTGTATAATATTTGGCAGTTTACTTATCTTCACTTACTTAAAAGTAAGTGAAGATAAGTACTTACTTACTTAAAAGTATTTCTTTCGGTTGTGCCGTCTGAGCTTTTGTTGTGAATTTGGCTGGAAATGCAAGCAACTTGCGAATGTTACTACAAAAAGTTTTGTGCACATCCAGCAGTATTTATCTGGATTATTTTAAACGTATTCGTATATTCATGCAATCATGTTGCATAACATCTATGATTGCCTATGAGGCTATGATATTACTGACTATAATCATCTCGATTGGTGTTTTCCCTTGTCACATTAAGCGCAGGCTGTCAAGCAGAAATGTTCGTAATGTTTGACGAAAATTCTGTCGCGGTGTCCAGGAATAGTTTGCCGATGTGTCGTTGCCATCCGCATTATCGGCTGTCGGTGTAATTGGACTTTCCCTTCACGGGCGACTCAACTTTTTGTGGGTTAACAAATAGTGCATCACGTTTATTTATTAGTATTTCGTTTTTTTCCCTACAGTTCTTAGGTTTGATGTTTTAAAAGCTTACTACGCATTCCAACTCGAGGATCGTGGCAATAAATGTAATTGGATTCAATTAGAGCTTGCTCAGCGCAATATTTTATTATATGTTCTGTCGTTTCAGGCCATAATTATATCCTGCAGAAGCTGTTTTGTAGTATACGTGATAAAAATTTGGTGCCCAGGATTAATTTTATTTCATTTACGGTGTACTCGGCGCCGCCTCAACTGTGGGAGTTGAGACATAACCACCCCCTTCCGCTGCTAGCAAAGCACTGCTGTGCTTCATCTCGATTCTCGCCCGCCCGTCTCCCGACGCCCACCCTTTTCCTCTTGTGTCCGGAGACTCAACTGAGGCATGCGCCAACGCTGCCTTTCTACCCGTTGACTACATCTCCGAGTTTTAAATCAAGTTATATGTGTTAAGTTATGTGCTACTTAGCTGTCGAAATTCCTTCCTAAGGATAGTCATTCACTTCATCATGTTATGCAGTTGTGTAATGCAGTTATTATAAGCAGTGTTAAGATATATTCCTATGCATTCGTGTAGGTATATATTTGTTGATAGACTAGTTCTGTGAACCATGCAATGCGGAATTAATTGGATTGTTAGTGCATTAAATTACTGTTCAAATCAAAGTCTTATTAGAAACGCAAGCATCGGTGGTTCAGTGGTAGAATTCTCGCCTGCCACGCGGGAGGCCCGGGTTCAATTCCCGGCCGATGCAAATGTTTTATTGGAACAACAGTCATATATAAAGAAATTCTATGCTGGCAATGGCTAATTAAACTGAAAGAGAAGTGGAAGAAAAGTAACTTATAATTGGTACACTGTGCACAAATTCTTCTTTTGGTGTTCAGCTTCTTGCACTCGGTCATCATTTTATTTCTTTAATGTTGAGTACTTCTCCAGGCAATTGCGTTAATTCCTTCATTATTTAATTAAAACAAATGCCATCTGCTATTCCTTAAGGTAAATTGCGTTACTTTCTCGAGCAATGCAATTTTTGAGAATTAGTCGAGATGCATGTGGTTCAACTAGTACTGTAATTTCATGACCGAGAATCAATTTTTAGTTCTATACTGGAATCATTCGAAAGTTAATCATAACTGCTTGTTCGCGTCCTTCTACTAAACTACTAAAGATAAGAAATTCGTGAAAACTGGATTGTAAATTGAAAACTCATGATGGTACTCCTCGGTAGTATAGTGGTGAGTATCCCCGCCTGTCACGCGGGAGACCGGGGTTCGATTCCCCGCCGGGGAGAACTTGTTTTGTGTTTAATCGGGTACTGATGGACTAAAACGTAATTTTCACCGCAAACTTATTCAGCCTTTCGATCCTATTCTTTCACACCGATAACATGCAGTTTTTTCAAGTTTGAATTGTTGAAAACAATCTAGTGAATGACAAATCGTAGGAGGAAGGGGAATGCCTCGAGCATCAAGCGTTTATCCATGGGCGGAAAAAGTAGCGTGCTGTAGAAACGAAGCAGAAATAATGATCAGCAAGAGGAGCGAAACAATTGCCCTAAACTTCGCAGCCTTCCACACGAGCGAAGCGAGAATAGAAGTGTCTGGAAACTAATTTGCACCTCTGAGAACCGCTGTCAGGAACCTGTGAAAGACTCTTGGGACCGATGTTTCAGAGAATGCAAGCTTATGAAACTTGCGGCCGGCGCTACAAAATTTCAAATGCTACCAAAATTCTAGAAATGGATAGGTAGCAGATCATAGATGTATCAAGTGGGTACCATGAACAACTGGAACTGGAATTTTGGCATTTTTTTCCAACCTATAGACTTTAGATCGGAAAAATATTGTGCTATCATTATGATTTTTTTTCTACTTCCCATTCATTTGGCAATTCACTAGGTCAAACTGGCATTACGGAGCGCAAATTTGACTACTATGTGATCATTCCTAAGTAAAGAATCAACCTAAATCGTCTAATTTCCTTAGTGTCACTCTTCAATCCCGTTCCGTAATTTCTTCAGCCTACAGGAGAGTAGTCAACAAACTGAGTTTGTAAGGATAAGAATTGAACGACATTATTAAAGTCAAATATATTGAAGCCCTATCCCTAAAACAGCTGTGTACATTTAGATAACGCAATCAAGATCGATGGAAATGACTGGGAAAGCAAATTACTTTTTGGTTCGATACTCGACCCACGTATTAATTTCAGGTTAGATGGTGATCAACGGAAACAAATCCATTTACAATAAGTTGGGCAAAATACTTAGTTACACTTGGTCGTCCACGATGATTTTTAGGACAATGACGCTAGCTAATTGTTGGCACCGCTTTTGCGCTTCTTCTTGGAGTTCATGACAGCAGGGGCCTGGTCTTCCTTTTCAATTTCTGTTGAAAAAAAAAAACTTGAAGGTAGTGTCACAATCCAGCAAGTAAACCCGACATATATAACATTTAGAACACACGTTGCCACTACGTAGTCACTGCAGTAAATAGCGGTTCCTCAGAGATATGTGCACAGAGGTGGAAAATGCACTGTATTGTGTTCCATTTGTTCATTAGATAACAAAGATGATTATACTGTAAAAGTTACGAACGAGTTTTGGTTCAATTCAGTCAACATAACATATCGTTCATTTTTGTAATCAGCGACGTAATTAGGTGGCAATTAGGTTCAATTGAACCATTTACCGCGAATCCACCATCTTTTATAAAGAAGTAGAAGAAATAAAGGATTTCACAAAACTAATGCATGTAAGGCAGTCACCTTTGATTGCGTACTCGGTTCAGAGTCTTCACACAATTTAATTAAGTTACCTGGTTCGGACGACACGAGTTTGAAGGACTCCCGCGACCTCTTGAGCCCGACCCTCAAGCTGCTGCCGCCGACGCTCATTGCCGAAGAGCGGCGCCGAGACGTTGACGGCTTCCTTAGTTCGTCCGCACTCGACTGAACCGGACTCCAGTGACGCAGGTTCCGTAATTTGGTACCCTTTGCCGGTACTGCTCATCAAATAAAATATTGCGCAGAAAATCAATATCAGTAATTTAGCGAATGATACACGTTTCTTGCAAGTAAATGAATAAAAGAGTAACGAATTTTGTTCGGAATTTAAAAGGAGCGTTTTACCTTCTTCTGAGGGCTCTTCTTCATTAGGAATAATATCTTCGATGGGGATATCGTCCACTCCTAATTCTTCAGGATGCTCCTCGATGCTTTCATCCTCCTCTTCTGAGTCAGACGAAGGTTTCTTAGGTATGGAGATGATGCTGCTGTTTGCAGACAGTTCAGATGACCACTTCGAACGCCTGCGCTGTCTAACAGGTATCGGATTCTCGTCTTCACTTGTGTCTGTAAAAAAAACATTTCATATCAATAGTTGAGAAATGTGGTACACTAAAGTCGTCCTTACATCATTTGGATGACACTTAAGTAGACGCGGCTCTCAAGTTTTGCCGAGATCAAGAGCTGGAATAAATGCTACTAGCGGCTGTCTTCAGAAATGAGTACCCAAGTCAGTTAGTTTTATAAAGTAACTTGGAAGAATTATTCAAGACAGTGATCTATTATTGATAACACCGAATCACCCGTGCTGTGCAGTGTCATAGCGATGATGCCGCGCCCGAAAGGCGCTTCTCTGCTCGTTCTGCGGCTCGAACTGCTCCGGCGTCGCCCTCGAACTTTCTCCTCAATTCCCTGCGACATTTCAATTTCAAATTACCTCTTCCGTTGGTTTACCTTGAAATTTTAAAACGTAGAACCTCAATAAATGTTGCCAATTATTAATCAAAATAAGGCATATGAATAGCTAACAACACACTTGACTGGAATATTTTTGATGCGCAAAATATTCGCACAGATAAACTCACCGTTTCAATTTCATAATCATTTCCCAGACTCAGCATCTTGATAGGTTTCATAGATGAATTCTCCACAGAAAGATCAACATTTTTCGACACTGAAGCTCCGGTGTCTGATGTCATTTTCTGCGTAGACTGTGTAGTTTTAGCAGCAAGTGAAAATACAGTTGCTAGTTTCTCATCTTCAGGTATAGGCTGCAAATCTGGCACTGCCATGGAACGCCTACTTTTCCTTTGACTTTTGATCAGAGTTTTAGAGGGCGTAGCCGTTGCTGTTTCATCTTGAATATTCTCAGCGATCTCTTCAGCTATAACTTGAAGAGGATCAGGGATAGTAGCGCTGACTCGGCGGCTCCTACGTACAGGAGTGGATGGCGTTGCAGCAGGACTTGCGATTGGCGTTCCACTATCAATACTTTTTCTTCGTCCTCTGCGTCCGTTTAGTGGAGTATTGATTGCTTCATCCACATCGGAAGAAGGTTGGTCACTAAAGATACTCGTTATAGATTTATCTGCGTCATCCGAGATGGTGGAATGCGATTTCTTAAGAATTCTCTTAACCGGTGTCTTTTTCTCTGATACCTCGGGTACACTTTCAAGCACAGGCGTTCCAAACTTGGAGGGAGTAACCGAACGTCGTGAACTTCGGCGCAAAGGTGTAGCTGGAGAGAGTAGATCAGTCACGCCATCGATACTAGAGCGTCTACCTCGACGTGCCGGAGACTTGCGAACTGCAAGCTCCGAGTCTTCATCCAACGAGCCCACAATTTTATCGATTATTTTTGAGTCGACTGCAGAGCTATCTGCCTTTTTAATTTCACCGTCAGATTTCTTTTCTTCTGACCCATCACTTGTGTGGAGAGCCGAGGCATCAGATGTAGTTATACAGGGAATTGAGCAATCGACTTCAACAATATTTTCCTCGCCGTCTGTGTTTTTGAAAATAGGTTCCAAATCGGTCTTATCATAGGATGACAAGTCGAGCATTGGAGGCACGGTTGTTTTCAACCCTTGCATTCGGTTCCCATCTTTGGCAATGAGAGGAGACTCAGCACCATACCGACGACTGGGGCTGCGAAGACTAACCGAGTCGGTAAAACCACTCGGAGGATCCAGAATAAGAGAAGCGTCTGCGTCACTACGACGCCTTCGTCTTAGTGGCGTTGCATAAGAGGTATTGATAATGTTCGAAGGATTGATGCCTACCAGCATCTTTTCGACTTTACGAGGCGTTCTGATAGAGGCTTCAGATGGTTCCACTTTCGAGAGTGACTCGGATGTATTTTCGACTGCGCGATCATCAGACGTCAAAAGAGGAACAGATGTGTGATTTTGTTCTTTAAGTAATGCGTTGTCTGAAGATTCAAGAGAATGAGCATCCTTTATATGTTCATATTCGTCCTTACTATTTTCACTGACCTGAACTACCGTGTCCGAGCTCGATTCCTTGTCATGCAAAGGCTGTTCAACCGAGACAATTGTATCATTTGATTTTTTCTTCAAGATTTCTCGGATTGGTTCCGCTGAATCAGTATCATCTGAACTTTCATCAGAACTGGAAAGATGGAGAGCATTTATGACCTCTTTAGATCCTTCTTGGACTTTAGTAACGGGAAACGGTTGCGTCTCAGGAAGAAGATTTACTTTGCAGGAGATCGGAGACTGGCTCCGTGTTAGTGGAATCTCAGTAAAATGTAAGTGCGACTCGTCGGCCACACCTCTGCGAGTAGAGTTTTCTTTCTTACTTGCTGTTGAGCTAGATAGACCTTCAGAATCATGGATCGATGCAGGAGAAAGTACGATTTGTTCTGGGGCTGCATTATTATTTTGAGACATGATTACATCGTGAGCGTCCTTGTCTTCCACGTTAGGTTCGTCATCATTCGAATCATTTTCATCATCAGAAAAATGTAATGATTGTATCGTCTCGCGTTCAACAACAGACGTAAACTGTCTTGTCTCATTAGAAAATTTAGCAGTTTTGGAAGGCGGCTTCTCCACTACTTCCTGGCCTTCAGACTCCGAAGAACTTGATCTTCTGCGACGCTTGGAGCTTACGAGAACTTCATTCACGCTCCGAGTTGTTGATTCTACTACAGAAAAGGCGCCGGTAGAAGTGGTTGCATTTTCTAGCAGGCAGGACTCAACTTCTTCTGCAGTAATTTCATTGAGTGAGAGCACATGCGATGAGGTAGAAATTTTATGAGAAGATGAAGAAAAATTCGTGTTTTTACCTTCAATTTGAAACCTTGTCGCATCTTGGCTACTTTGTTCTTCCACCAGAAAGCGACAGGAATTGTGTGTCGCACTTGACAAAATGGGAACGGTGTCACAAGGTTCGTTTAGCCACTGATTAACGCTACTCACTTCCTCAGCACATGTGTCAACAATTTCGTCACCGATGGTGGTATCATCTAATTCTTTTCGCGGGGCTCTCAATTCCACAGGTTCATTGCCTCGCGTTTCTTCTTCTTGATAGCCTGATGTCACAAACGGTTCACAACTTTTTTGCGCTATCAATTTTTCGTTGTCATTTTGTTCGCAATTGAAGTCGGTCTGTGTATTATCCTTTACTTCATATTCTGCTCGGTGCTGATCAACGTTTCCATGTTTCAACACATCGGTTTCTTGTTCATGACAGCCAGCTTGTGATTCATCTTGTTCTTCACTTTCAAAACTGAAGAAATGTTCATTTATGCCGCTCAAAACCGAATCTTCGTCCTCATCGACTGGACATTTGTCTAGCTCCTCCTTTCTTTTGGAGTCCAATTCTACCTGAGATCTGAAAGCAAGAAAATCCTGATTAGGCGAGGTATATATGTTGTAATTTCTGTTGCTTAACTAATTAAAACTAGAATTATAAAGAAAATATTTATTATCCAAAGCCTGTGCTGACTCAGGAGATCAATATTAGCAGCTAAAGTTCTATCGATGCCAATAATCATGAAATGTTTACAAAAGAAGACAGGGCTTAACCTGTTGACTGTTTCGTCTGCTGACACGCGTTGCAGCACTCCAGTAAACGAGGGCGGCATTTCAGTAGGCAGCGACTGGTCTCCAATGAGTTCCCAAGACTCCTGCTCTTCATAAAGAGCTGTTGTCTTGTCCATGGATGCGCGTTTGTTGATGTAAGGCTCCAGCTGAACATCTAAGTCACTAATGTCATCAGAGTCTTCACCATTTTTCTCCAAGTCAGAAGCAATTTTGGTTAAGCCTGTCACATCGTCACGGGTTGGTGCCTCACTGCTGGTCTCTTGTGGAGGTGGCGAAGGCAACGCAAACCTTAATTGCTTTGGTGTGAGGCACGACGAGTCCGATGCTTCCCCGTCTTCTTCTAGCAATACTGCTCATTTGGAACCCCCTTCATCAGTAGGTAGTTGTCATTTTTTATTATTAAAGGATGTGAGACTGATAAACAAGAATTATAAATTTCGTCAACAGTCTTTGCTTCTAGAATTAGAATGCGGCACTAAATATAAAAATAAATCAGGTTATAAAAGGCAACTTCAATCAATTTACAGCAAATAAAAATTTATCGAAGAGATTATCATTTCATTGGACTAAAAATAAGGCATTAAACCTTTGCTATGAACAACGGGCCGGGTAGAGGATCGAGGAGGTGGAGGTACAGACAAGTCTCCACTCGAGCTGCATGGACTCATAGGGCGTTTCAACAAAGAGCGGACCTGCAACAAATTACTATAATAAAATATTTGGTATAAAAAACACATAACGACCACGAGTTTGATTGTATTCGTAGTAATGCCCCGAAAGAACAAAAGATGTATATAAAGTTCTTGCAGCTATGAATTATTGAAAATTCAATAGTTCATCTTGGCAAATATTATTGAAAATGTAATAGTTCATCCTGGAAAATAGTAGAACGTGAACATGAATCAGACCTTGAGGATAGACTGCGGGGTGGAGGCGGCGGTGCTGCCATTTACTGATGGCGCTCGGCTGAGAAATGAGGGACGTGCCCGTCGAGGCGCTGGCGGGGTGCTCAAGAGCCCGGTGATGTGGGCCGAAACATTCGCAAGAATTGATCCCCTGCGAGACGTGAATAGAATGGAGATTCCTTCACATAATTGATGAAATTGATAATCTTGCCGATAAAAATCGGCCCAGGCAAAAATTCAACACTGGTCAATGGTTTTTATTAATTCAAAGATAAATTGCAATGTTTTAACATTATGCAAAAGATTTCATCAATACAAAACTTATGGGGAGGAGCGGTGAAATTAATTTTAAAAATATGATTTATTTAACAAATGAAAGCAAAACCACTCCAAACCATTATAGTCGTACAATATACCTGGTCGAGGCTGAAGCCGTCGAGTCTGCAGCTCGGCTCTTTTCCAGCACACGGCTCGGAAACAGCAAAGAACACTCACTGTGACGAAGAATGGAAGTGTTATATTTTAAAAATAATATATAACATTCAAACACTATAGTAACATTTTTGAGGAATCACATGCAAATTTTTAATTCAGTCGTTATCAGGAAAACAAGATATGTGATCCAGCACAAATACTGCATACCTTTTCGAGAGATCATTCACGGTGCGTTTTTCCTGACGCTGTAGCCGCGATCTGTCAAAACAGGAAACCACATTCAACACTCGATTGTTGAATAATACATCAAAACCATAGGCAGAATAGGAGATGAACCAACGAATTGGTGTTTTAAATCAGAAAAATTAATATTGTGTCAATCCCCAAAGAAGAGTCTAAAGAGTCCGAATACAGACGCTTCTGCATCAGGATGTTAAAAAAGTTCGATGTGAAAGAGTAAAACAACTTTTGTTACCAAGCTATAGGAAATATCAGAAAATGCGGCACCTTGAGCAAATACACTTAATGAATGAGACTTAAGAGAATAATGAAATGTTCAGGCTATGATGCAAACCTGAATGGAGTGAAAGGCTCAGTGGGTAACTTGTCCTGGGCAAAAGCGAGACGGTCGCGGAAGCTCTTTGCCTTCGTGACGGGACTGAGAGCTGCTTGACGTAGGCAAGCTGACAAGGGCTGTTTGGCGCTGTACTCGTACCGATTATGATGCTCCTGAGGGAGTAATTTATTTTAGAAACCAGTTCAAATGCATTTGCACACAAACGCATGATTTGAGTGTCGGTAATTCTGACTCAAGTTATGTTATACTGTATGGAACATAGTTTGCGGGCGAATTAATTAACAACTTGAGTTATGGAAGTTAGAGGGAATGTGTATTAAATGGAACTGCAAATCTGCAATGGAAGGATACAGGAATGTAGGTCAAAACGCTGTAAAACTTGTACAAGACGCGATTGTTCTCAAGACCGTGAAACAGAGGGTTTGTTTACATTTTTGGAACGCCTGGCGGTATCGAAAGTGCTTATTCTTTGTGGAACTTGAAACTGTCGTGGCGTCCCTTACTGGGCTTAAGTGTGCGCGATGTCTGCCTATATAAGGACAATTGAGACCTTCCACCTCTTTGGTGATGTTCAACATGACTTCCGGTGCGAGATAGCTAAATAGCTGAAGCGCTAGTAAACATGTGGCCACTAAACTAACACCTCCGCAGACGTTGGTGACGGGTCCGTAGTCTGACGGATCGAGAAATAACGGCCCCGCGAGACTTCGAGTCACTCATACCACTACGACTCAGATATGACCTCGTCAAAAATCCATGACTAACGGCCATGATTTCACCACATTTGTACGGTCATCATTGCAACGGCTGTGACTTAGCCGTGAGACGACGCGAGAGACAAGACGTCCAACGATCATAACGCCGGCAAGACTTAATTTTTGAGCACTGAGCAAACAATTATCATCGGTACTGTTATCAACACAACGCGGTCACAGTTGTCGTCAGTAGCTGTACGGTCACGATCTCCAACAGCAGAAGCACGACAATAAGCTTGGAGAAACATCATCGACGATGGAGACTACGCCACGATTCAGAAGTATGGTCGTTATAAAACAACCTACGGCCAGACTGACCGTAAGACATCAATATCAGCGAGACACGACGGCTATGGAGAGATAACGACCGCGGACAGCGGGAATGCGCGTCTGCGATACGGTAGTTTACGACAGTGCCCTATTCAATGAAACTGCAACAGGTCAACATTTCTGGCAAAAATAGGGAGATTTTAGATATGTAAACTGATCGATTCTCAACTTTGATTGGGTAGAGATTACCCCTTTTCCTGTACTAGAGATTTTTGTCAGCGCATGATGTAAACTTAAATTTACTAGTTTAATATTCAACGCACCAGTGTTTCATTGTAACCTTCTCTCTGTACGATTTTAGCCGTAACCTATTTCATGTGAGAACTTATAAAAGCAAATACACCTAGTAAAGCCCAAGACGCAACGGACGCAATCCTGACTAAATTAAAGCAATTGCCGATCAATAATAAAATTATAACAATGAAACAAATCTTGAAGCGTTTAAATTTCTATAACCTAATCATGCGGACTAGATGGCGAATAAAGTTTAACTCTGAGATTCAAGGTATATATCTAGTAACGTAAAATTAAAATTATTTACCTTCATTGCAGTTGGGACTATGTTGGGCTGCAGATGAGCCGAGTAACAATGTAACAACGCTGTACGAGCGGCCTGCTTCTGCTTGTCTTCAGCCAGACCAATTGAGCCAGCATCATTGTATCTATACCCATTTAGAGACATACCATGACAATTAAAGAGATACTAGCTGTTCATACATGTAAAAAAAATATCGAATAAAATTTTGGCACTAAATGTCAAAAGTAGAAAGAAATTATTATTCAACGTTGTTCTAAACCAGTTTCGATATTTCAGTCAAATTAGAGCAATAACTCACCTGAAGTTTCTTAGGCAGGCTACTGTGAGGATGTGCTTGGCCAGGGGCTGCTCTGAGTCGCGGAGGAAGTCCAAAAAAGCATTTTCCTCGGCAGCCGAAAGAGGCAGCTGTAGTAACTCGTGCAGGAGTCCATAGAATTCGCAACCTGTTGATTAAATTTTGAAAAAAAAATAATAAACTGAGAAAGCGGCGCTTCCTATAGAGATCACTGCACCAAGTGGCGCACTCCTCAGCACTGGTCATTGCTTTGTATCCACGACACGGTATTGAATATCGGCAAGACTATCGATGCATTGTGAGCAATCGATTTACGTAAGGGATTACGTAGATTTCTGTATTTCGCAGCAACTGCTAAAATTACCATTACCATGTCATATTTATGGAACTTGATTTTACGCAAAGAGGGAAAAAGGCAAATGGGAAATTGGACGTGGGGTCGGGGGTTGGGTGTGTAAGGGGATGCTTACTGGTAAACAACTATCATTAAATTCTACATGCGCGATTCACTGCTAACTTTTAAGGTAAGATTTTCTAGAGTTGCGAATCGATTCAACTAATTTTCACAAATAAGCTAGGAAATTGGAAGCAACTGCTGGCAAATGAAGCGAAGATTCTTTATACAGAAAGATTATCTTTTAGGCTATTGATACCCGACTACAGTAGAGTAGGAATCAAAGAGAACAACAAACAAATAAGTAATGGAAATAAAGCACTAATAATAAGATATTAAGTAACCTTGCAAGAGATGGAGCAGTAGCTTCAAATGGTTAGCAACTGTAGCGTGGTTACGCTGGTAGTGGAACGCTTCTCTAACACGTCCATTGGCGAGCAGCACGGACAATTGAAGTTGTACGTCTTCCAGCTCCTGATGTGGTGGCTTGCGGCCTTCATAGTATCGTAGCGCCAGGTAGGCTTCATTCTGAATACCAATGTAATACATAATTATGCTCAGATTCATCAAGATCCTACACACACCCATAGAATTTTATACTTTAAGGAATAAGGAACCAACTCGAATTATTTAGCATGGCCTCAACTTTGGTTCACAGTATTCAACGTAGAGCACTTGTAATCCGTAATTACAATGATTGAGTAATCAATATATTAACACATAACAATTTACTCTAGACCAAAGCAGTTCTTTGTGTCATAAGTTCTGAGGTACCAGCAGCAGTAACAAACAAGAACCTGGCATAGCAGAGCCCGTATAATACGTCGGTGCTGGGCAGTCGTGATGTCAGTGCGCACCACCAGAGGGTCTAAGAAGAGGTCCACAGCGCTCTGCAATATGCACTTAGTGTTTAAACAAAGACCAACAAATTTTCGCGCATCAACTCGAATTATCATTTAGCCTTTTTCGAAATAACGTTTAAATTTTACAGATGGCGTGTATTGATAGCGGATGATGCATGATCTTACGACTGGAGATTCTGGAGATAACGATTCTTACCGATTACGCGGGAGCAAATGTAAAAAAATATAACTCAGTACTCACTGCAGTGAGTGACAGAGAGCGCATTTTCTCGTCGAAGAAAACGTGAAGTCACGGGCGGACAGACGGACGGACATGGCGAGCAATATAGTGCATTTTTTTCCATAAATGAGAAAATGTGCTAAAAAGCAACCATTTTATTTGTATGCTACGACTTTGTTATTTCGATGTTAAAGTAATTCTATTGTGTTGCAAAATATGCACAAACCTGAAATGTTTCATATGCTCTCTAGCAGCTACGGAAAGATACGGCGGTGGGACCAGGACATATAGTTAAATTCCAAGCATTTTCCTCACCTGGAAGTCTTTCTGATCAAGAAGCCAAAATGCCTGCGTGAGTTTGATGATAGACGGAGATAACTTGGCGCTTGCTGGAAATTTGATTAGCTGCTCTACAGCACTTGAAAATCTGGAGACACCATGTCAGCAATTGTTATTAAATAAAGTAAATTATGACGTCAGCACGCACGAAATGTTAGTCAGCAATAAAGATGTCAAATTTTTTTAAATCGAGAGCATGTGATATCTATGATAAATTAATGATAACATAAATCTTTCAACATTTGAATAAGGGATTCAAGGACTTGGATTCCCAATCCAAATGGGTCACGCGTTTTAAGAGAGTTAAAAATGTACATTTTCAAGAAGTCAAGCAACTGTGTATGCAAACCCACCCGTCTGACAGAATGCTGGAGAGGTCAAGGAATAGATACTGGACAATCCTGTGCTTGAGTGAGAGATCAACGTCAGCGAGGAGATATAAATCAAGCAGGGCCTGCAGTGACTGGGGTGGGTAAACAGGGCATCCTTCCCCCCATTCGTTCATGTTCTTCACCCCGAGTTCTTCGATGAGAAGATCAATCATGAGGAGGTCAGTTCCTTCCAGGTTGGGGCTGAGCTCACGAATTTCTTGCCGCCTGAAATCAAATATAAATTTTAAATGTTTAGAAATGATAATTGCAATTAATCATCAACTATGGAAACAAGAGGGTGCCTATAAATTCATTCCTTCAAGAATACTCAACAAGTTCTCATACCATTAGTCTCTTTAAATCGCAAGTTCACCAAAAATTTAAAAGCAGATAAAATTGCAACTAAAATCACATCTTCAATGATAATAATGATGGAGCTCGCAACCAAAACGTTTTTCTTGAAAGCAAAGTAGACTTACATGGCGTTTTCTTTGCTTTTGCATTCGTAGAAATCTAACTACAATACTAATAGACCAACCTGTTCTGGTAAATTTGTGCCAGGTTTAAAGCAGGATAAGGCACAGCTGAGGAGTCCTCCATGGCCAGACTAGGGTCAACCTCAGGCAGGAGCTGACAGTGCTGGAACCATAGAGTCACTGTGAGGTGTTGATGCAGCAGCGTCACCACAGTTGAATATGCTGATACCTCACCACGGCCACCGCCTGCAAAAACACAAAATCATGTTTGAATAAACTTCAAAGTGTGAAACATTCTCAATACTTCCTTGTGATGAAGATCAAATAAATTGAGGAGCTTGGTATATATATAAAAGTATATAATTTTAGATTGTTCTTACAATAAATGAAAACGCAGGTTTAAAATTCATTTTATCTTGATCAAAAATGTAAAATTGGACTCCATTCCATCTGGGGTGATGAATTATTAATCAACGGAATTAAGCATTTAATATTACCACGATAATAATTCTATAAAACTTTTGAAAATGAAGAAGCCAGCTAACTAATGTAAGCCTCACTACAATTTAGAAGCTTCAACTGTAATACAGAAGTTCATAATTCATAGAACAAGAGGAATAAATTGTAATATGGGGATTGCAGACCTGCATGCTTGGTGGTGATGGGCGTGTGCTGGGCGCAGAGGGCGAGCAAGGTGCGGAGTGAGCCCAGCACGTTGAGGTTGTGGTGCAGTCGCTGCAGCTGCTCAGGCGTTAGCTGAGCATCACCACAACTAAACAGACGCAGCACTGAAAAATAAATTACATGTTGAACAGAAACTAAGACAACAATATAACCATGGCACATATCAACCATGACACACATCAACAGAGTAATGCAAATTTCACTGTGAGTATTAAAGATATGTAAAAACCTGCAGTGCAACAGTTAGTTAAAATGATAACATGTTTGAATGCATTTGCTTTGAAGGAGCAAAATTATAAAAAAACAGGGCAATGGAAAAGGAGCAAAGACTCCTCCAAGCAGACACTCTTACTGTTTATAAAAAATCACTATTTGGTTGAATATGCAAAAAAATATTTGTCAGAGAACTCACATAGGGCATCCGTATCAGCTTTTGTATCGGTAACTTTGCTCCAGGCCCAGTGCAAGAAGGAAGGAAGAGTGCAGCCCATGCCAGCAAACCTTCCCTCACTGAACTCCGACACACACTCGCTCAGCACAGACAGCAGGTGTTGGGACAGACAGGTGTCCAGCACGATCTCCCTCTCACTTTTCTGAAGAAGCAAGCATATCAGATAAGAAATATCGATGCAATGATCAACAATTATGTTACGATTTATGGCCTCAACAACCTCACTCGTCAGTAGCCAATAGAAACAATTTTATTTGCAATGCTGATACTACTACAAAACTAACCGAAGATTCTGATGCACTGCAAGAATAAGAAAAATTAGTCAAAACACTTGTGTGTAAAATAGCCCATTCTGAACCTTTGAGTCCAGTCTTGGGGACAAGAAGTCGTGTTCACCGCTGAGACCAGCAAAGGAGCACCTGGCGACGGCATCTTGAGGACACATAAGCACAGCAGCGGGGCCCTGAGCCAGCAACCAGCGCAGACAAGCTCGCTGGGAACTGCGGCACTGATACCACGCACAACCACTGCTGCTCAGCACTCCAACGCCTGCCAGGATATCATTGTTGAAGACTAATTTATCCGCATGTACATATTTAGACACGATAGTAAATATAATATTTTTTTGTATATAATAATGCAGCACCCATCAAATTACCGTTTGAGTATCTTAAACCCACCGAAGACAATATCTCTTTGAATACTGACAAAATGCGTTCGTGTAATAGAAACGGGACCGTGACGACGCGAAGAACTTCTTTGATAATACTTTTAGATCCCTACACAAAATACAAAATCAAACAATTATGAATCACATAAAACTTGACCCACCATACGAAAGTGAAGCGGGGTACCAATCTCGCTCAGATGAGCCAGAAGGCGCCATGTGCCTGACGATGTTGCTCGTAGTGAGGGGCGCGGCAGCGAGCACTCGCTCGTTTGTCCCGCACGGCACTCGGTCCAGGCGATGGAAGCTCATGTACGGACACATCTTGCCGGTCGTCAGACGAGCAGAGCCTGGCATTTGGGCCTATAAAAACACCAGTCCAATTAGTTCCAAGGCAAATGAGAAGATTGAAGCCATGTTTATACCATTATATCGTTATATCATTATATTTATAACAAATTTGATTACGCTAAAACTGTGTCCCAATTAAACATGACCAAAGAATCGGGGTTGTAGCACAAATAAAAACTTATAACAATAGAGTTAAAAACCGGCCTATTAGTATTAATTCCAGAGCAAAATTAATTTAGATTTCATTTCAATATAAATTGCTTTTTTTCCAATTGATATATTGATATTACTCAACACTTACTTGGTACCATTGATTAATATCAAAAAGAGCAACATAATGCTGAATGGATGAGCGACCGCGCTCGTTGCTAGTCCGGCTGTACCAGCCAAACAAGCACAGGCTCAGGTCACTCACAAGACTGCTGCTACCTGGAATTAAATAGAGTTTCGCGTGCAAATCTGTTCAGTTCCACCAACTAAGTTCCTGAGCCTATTCGTCAAAATAAATATTAATAAAACGATAGCTAAAAGAAAGATATCAATGTCTTTCCATCTTCTACACCTAACAAGATTTTTCTTGCATTAAACGTACTTATAATTTGCACAGTTAAGAATATATACCTCATAAGCTTAAATTAAAAACATTGGAATATATACCTCATAAGCTCAAATTAAAAGCATTGGAATATATACCTCATAAGCTTAAATTAAAAGCATTGGAATATATACCTCATAAGCTCAAATTAAAAGCATTGGAATATATACCTCATAAGCTTAAATTAAAAGCATCTAAGCACAGTTACCTTCCTCATCAGTAGCGCTGAGGAGGAGAGAGGGGGGGCAGTTGGCTAGAGGGGGAGGTGTGGAGGGAGGCGTGGGTCGAGTGATAGTGTGGCACGTGAACAGCACCGTGGCCCCGCCGCCCTCCGGACTGCCCCAACAGCTGGGGCTGCCGTCCGCTTCAAACTCAAACCTACAAATTCAAGCTTTGAATCACACTATAAAATCCCTTAGTACGATGAAGCCAGTATACCAAAAAAGGCACGAACTTCCAAAAAATATAGAACGTTAATTAAAGTTCTTTACTATAACTATTATTACTTAGAGAATGTAAATGAATAAACGAGAATTTAAACAAAGAAAACAAGATTTGATAGATGATTTAATATAATCACAAATATACCTATACAACAGCACACATCTATATGAAAACTTGAAAGGAATAAAACACAAATTCACTGTCAGCTTTCTGATGCATTGATCATAAAAAAATGAAAGGAAATAAAGTCTCTGAATGAGAAATCGGGTCATTCAAGGAAAATAAGGGAGTCTTACCTCGGAGATATAGAAGACAGTCCTTGGTAGCTCAGGCCATGCCCTTCGATCCACTCGCGCTTCTCATAGGTCATCGAGTACAGGGTGCACACGGCACCGCCATCCCCGCTCTCTGCAACATGTAATCTTGTTTTTAAAAAGAAATAAAAAAGCGGTTCTTACAGGAGCCGTGTATACATATCTTGCACATCATTTCTTCAAGAAAGTAACTTCTGACTAGGTATTTATAGGTATTTATTTAATTTTATAGTTTTGATAGAAAATTACTGTACAAATTAAATAACATCATGAAAAAACGCCAAGACAGAGCCACAATATACGTGACCAGAGAACAAGAAGGTGAGATAAACGCATTTACCTGATGACTGGAAATCTGAAGGGGCATTGCTGCGGCAAAGCCATAAGTATACACAGTTGCGTGGGTCATTCTCAGGTTCTTGGTAGGCAAACGATATTACACCAGGAACACCTTCTTCATATGGGCTCGTGCAACTGCAAGAAATAAAAAATTATCAGATGCAATTTTGAGATAGAAATGAAAAAATTACACCCACTGCAGCTAGCTTTTCCAACATTTTTACAGTTACAATTGAGTAAAGTAGAAATATAGAGACCAGTAGCACATCGACTTGAGGACCGGCAAAGATTTCTTCAAAATATTCTCACATTCATAATAATGCACCATGATAATTTTAATACTAAAAATCAGGGTTGGCAATGATTAAATCAAAATGATTAAATCATGTGATTAAATCATGTGATTAAATCACTTGATTTTTTTATAAAAAAATCATGATTTTTTTTTATTTTTTCGATTTATTTGATTTTTTCACATATTTAAAAATGTTGAGTGGCAGTCTTTAATTTATATTGAGGTATTGTTATTCATGGTTTAGTATAAATGTACTATGAATGACAAATTGGTATATAAACTTGTTGCCTTTAGTGGGTATTAGGTTCCAATAAATGGAATTTTTTTTGGTACAGAGGCATCAAGAGTGCAATACATTGTACGTAGCTAGCGCTTAGCTATTTCTTATAAGGCTATAAGTAGTTTAACTATTTGACTATTTGTTATATATTGATTACAATATACAATTTAAATGTATTAGCTAGCTTATACTGGGTGGGACAGAACTGATTTAACAGTTTTGAGGCGAAATAAGAGTAATGGAGGTACATAAAGAAGAAAGTTTATTTTCCTCATGATTAGCATAACATACCATTTAAAATACATGTTTTGAAAACAATATCAGGAAGATGGGGTTTGTTAGCTGCATCACACTGTTGGAGTTGTTCTCGAAAGTTTCTTACAGCACGTTCACACATATGGCGAGGTATGGCCATAACCTCTGCTGCAATAATCTGTTCCCTTAGCTGTGGTAGAGTTGAGGGCGACTTCTGAACACCCTTTCTTTTAGATGTCCCCAAAGAAAGAAATCGCAAATGCTCAAATCAGGTGACCTTGCAGGCCACTGTAAATCACCCCTCAGACACCAGACCTCCGGGAAACACGCGTTTCAAAACATTGAGTGACATTCGAGCTGTGTGAGCTGTAGCCCCATCCTGCTGGAACCACACATCTCCCAATGCTTCATTTTCAACAATGTTTTCCATCATGGGCTGCAATAAATTTTGCAACATTGCAGCATAGCGATCGGAATTCATTGTCATGGTTACTCCCTCCTCCGAGAACAACTCCGTGTTGCAGCTAACAGCCCCCATCTTCAAGATATTGTTTTCAAAACATAAGTATTCTAAATGGTATGTTATGCTAATTGCTAACCTCTAGGAAAATAAATTTTCTTCTTTATGTACCTCCATTGCTCTTTTATTTTACCTCAAAACTGCTCAATCGGTTCTGCCCCACCCTGTATATTGAGAGGTTGAGATTGTATTGACCTTTTAGGCAATTAGAAAGATTTTTCACCCTAATACGAGTATTCTATTTAAAATATTTAATTTCAATCTTTAAATATGTGAATTTAAAACTCGAAACAAAACAATTACAATTACAACACTATATATAAAATAATTGAATGCAGTGAATGGATATAAAATATTTGAATTCTACACATATTTATTTCAAACAGTGTTAGCTTTTCTCACAACTTAAGTCTCGTTTCAAGTCATATGAGGTTTGTTTGGTTATCGTTCAGTTTATATTCAGTATTGGTTTATTGGTCTGAATTAAATGGGAACAGTGCAGTCAGTCACTCAGTCACTACTCTTTGGTGTGTATAGAGGGGAGAGTCTGGTAGATTTAGAGGACATAAAACTAGTAGATCTATTGATAGTGCTGTGCACTGTGCTATCAGCTACCTATCTGTTATGTGACTTTTCAATGTTTAGGAGATCTGCATTCCTGAAGTGTTTTTGTATATTGAAGCCAGTTAAATGGTCAATATTTAGCTCATTACCTTGCTCCATACAAACTTTACAAAGCTAATGAATAGACTTACCAATAATTGTTTACCCAAAAATCCCTAAGTGGTAAACTCCACCTTGGCCTGTTGGCCATTATTGAAGGCAATAAGTGCCCTTTTTAGCCATCCATTATGATCCATATACTGTTATTGTTAGTAGGCTAATTGCAACATAAAAAATAATTCTTCAAAAAGACAAAAAAGTTGAAAAAATCAAAAAAATCAAATAAATCAAAAAAATCACGAAAAAATAAAAAAAAATCATCAATTTTTGATTTTTTTTATTTAAAAAAAAAAATCAAAAAAATCGCCAACCCTGCTAAAAATGTCACAGACAACCCTTAACACATGCAACAGGGGTCTCACTCGATAGCCATGCTGCGAATATTGTAGAGCTGGAAGGCACCAAAATTGTAGCCAACAGCAAGAGAAGCAATCTGCGGGATGTAGAGCAATGAGGTGACCGCGACGGCCTCCACTGGGAGCTGACACAGAACTGCATCATTTGGACCCAAGAGCGAGAATCTGCTGCTACTGACACTACCTTCTGTGGTGAGGGGAAACAGAACAAATATCAGACATTTCCATTGCCAGAAAAGAAATTCTAAATATATTATAAGGAGAGAAGAAAAAATGATTATAGATGGGATGTGAATTATGGAGATTTCCCCACTTTGTTTTCCAAGTTACTCAAAATATAACAGCAGATATCATAGAACAAGGCTGCCTTCTTTCCTGTATAGTAAAACTAGATACTTTTTTTGCATATATACATAGAGCCTAGATTGACAGTAACTTTTAGATAACAGGCCTCCAAGTACAATAACACTGACGATAGTTATATTAATGTATGCAAGGACAACTGACTGAAACTGTCATAAAGCCTGACCCAATATTGTGGTGGAAAAGTGCAATCTTTCTCTGAGAGCTGAGAGGCGGTGCTGGAGCACCGATGTAGATGAGCAGGAAGTAAGTGGAAGACTGACCAGGCTGGCAGGATTCACTTCATCAGACTTGCCTATTTCAGCTGAACAATATAAAAAACCAAGCTATGGTTAATTTGACGCAACAAATAAATAAATAAATTAAATTATAAGAAGAACAATGAAATAAAATGTGAACATATACAGAACTTTATGTCACACAATTTTTATTCTAGGGTTGCAGAGCATAAGGACAGGAATTGTAGGACTGGGCAGTTACTATCGCGCCCTCCTCATTCAACTGTGCGTGTTCATGATATCCCCTATATCTGATAGTGACAAGATGTTAGCTTTCCCTTCCGGTACTTTATATCTTCGCTGTTTAGAATCCTTCTGCATTTTTAAACAGAGGCCAGTTAGAATTCAGCAATTAGCTCCCATTCACTTGAGAGTGTGAATGAATAGGTTTTGTCTTTTTTCTTGTATTTTGTCTTTTGTTTCTAAATTTAGGTTTTAATTGTAGTTCCTTGAATTTCAATTATACCAACTTGTGATTTTATCTGCATTCTAGAATCTTGATGATGGAGATGAACTGATGATGGAGCTGGACTCTGAAATGTTTTCCATAAAGATACTATGAACTTTTGTGAAATTTTCTTAGCTTATTAATTTCTTGTTAATTTGCGATTCAGGCAAACAAGTGAGATTAGTACTTGTATAGGTACATAACTTATGATAATTTAAGCAACTAACCTGATACATCAAGAGCTAGATCAAGTAAATGTAAAGATGGCTGATTAGTTGCAATGACTACAAGTGGACTGCAGTGCCGCAAACTTGGGTGCAATGTACATGCATCAACCCACGCTGTACCACCAGTGATAGGGCACACTTGAACCACCTGAAACATAAATGGGCTTAATTAGTACACAAACATTATTTCCAGAAAATACTACTACATAAAATTAATAGTAATCCACCAAAATAGAATAAATCACAAGATTGAGAGTAATTCTACTGTCATTAAAGATAGACATAACCTTCACCATGCAAATGACACAAAAAATCCTTGATCAAAATTTGAGCAAGAACAAACCTCAAACTAGAATTATAGCTCACCGCATTGGGAAACAAAAAAGCCCGGACAATTTTTGAGGAATTGAGAGACAGAACAGCAGCCAGACCTCTGGGTGATGCTTCTGGTCCTCTGTCCACACCACACACAATGTGAGAGATGACTCCAGGTGCCTGACCAACCCCACAAACACTCAAGACCTGTTGACATGGCAAATACTTTACAACAATTATAAGATCCTTTTGTCCTAGACCAGGGGTCTCCAAACTCTGGCCCATGGGCCACATCCAGCCTGCCACATAATTTTATCCAGCCTGCTAGATGAAATCGTGAAATGAATACATAATTATTGTATGAATGGCTTCGCAGAATTATTCAAAGCTGGGGCCTGCTGACTGGTGGCATTCAGTTGATAAATATGGGAAATGTGGCCCACACATTAAAAAGTTTTGGAGACCCCTGTAATAGACAATAGTGATGACTGAAAAGTTATCAAATTTGGACATGCAAATAAAGAAAAGGATACATACAAATATGCTTCAAAGTAAGGATTTAATTCCAAACCGAAAGGAATACAAGTGCAGCAGAAATTTTAAAAGTTGAAAAAGACAGGAAAATGCTCAGAATTATGAATTTTTAGCAAAAATAATGTTGTCTGGACAATATGGGAATGCAAAAGGAATAGGAATAAAGTGGAATTTCCAGAGACATTACATAACCCATTTTATCACAGGTGTAAGCAGCACAGAGCTTGCAAGCAATTTTGACTAGTGGAAGAAAAAACATTCAGCATTAATCAGCATGATCAACACAGCCCAAAAATTGTTGATCAAACCAAGAATTGATAGTAGTTGAGTCATATCTTGAAACACAAAATCTTGACTCACAAAATAAAGCCACCAAATACCTTTTGAAAAAAATTTGTAGTATCCCTGGGCAAATATGGTTCAGCTGGATTATGTATATGTTTTATCATTGTTTGAGAAAAAATAAACACACCTTAGCTTCCATGCTTCTTAAAATGGCCCCAAAAGTCCATGCTGCAACTCGTGTCCCATTAGACGAGTTGAGCACCTCTACTGTAGGGCCAAATGCTCTCCATACCAGCTGACTTCCACTGCTCAAATAGCCTCCCAAGACACTGGGCTGCAGGGAGTATGTGGGTGGACATGCCTCTGATATTATGTTTGGGATTGCTGGTAAAGAAGTATGATGACTTGCTTCAGCTGACAAAACCAGACTCAGTTCCTCAGCCATAATTTCTGAAAAAATTAGATTTTTTTTTACACATCAGGAAAATAATTAGGGAGTAGAAATAAAAACGAATAAGAAAGCATTAACCCTTTCCTGACTGATGGGACTTTGCAGATCCAAGCCACTAGGTACAAATAGCATTGACAATGGTAAATTTATCAAAGATCAAAGAATTAAGTACTGAAATTATGATCAACATAGGTACAAAATAACATCAATAGAATACTAGAAAAAAGAGATTTAATTCACACACATTAGAGCCAAAGAATGATTTCAGAAACAATCTTACAGCTGTAACAAATCCAGTAGTTAGAAGATTGATATTAACTTAAAATCATTTTGGCTTCATCAAGCACTTTTGTTAACAATAATGTATTTCAGTAGATATGAAATCTCGCAGCTCTAATGCATGTATTTTTGTTAGATTGAAAAATCACGGTTTGTGACGTTGCAAACCTGTCACTGTCAGTTCATAAAACTTTCAACTTCCACAATGATGGCACAATCCGCATTACCAGTACTTCAATGTTCCCGACAGAATATCCTGCAAATTGTAAGAACAACAAGTCAATGCAAAACATTTGCTTGAAGATCACATAGCTGTAGGTCACGTCAGAGTGGTCAGACTGCATTATCATGTGTTCAGTTGACACTTAAGTGAAACCAAATGTTAGTTTTGCCATTTGTCTGTTTAAGGGTAAAATTAGAGATTTGGGGTAACACGTGCAAAGACTTTGCAAATACGCTCACGGCTTGTTAATGGCTTTTCATGGCCGGAATATGGAATTCACGGCTCAAAGAAATGGAATCAGGGCTGGCAAATCCATAAAACCACATCTCAAAAAATTCAGTTGTGACTTGCAAAGTAGACATATTCCATGCCTGCTATGACCAATACAAATAATCACTTCATGAGTGATTTCTAAAATTTTCAAACAAAAATGCATGTCATTAAAAAAATTTCAAGTAATTATGCAAAGATTATAGGAATGGATAAATGGTCCATCTACACATTTGGCTTCTATCCATTTTTCCAGTTTGTCTGAGACAGCAGCATTATGTCCTATTCCTGAACTTAATGTAGGTAGTAGTCTGCAACAGAAAGAAGTCAACTATTTTCTTTCTTAATTCATTATAGGAAAATTTTTACAGTAAATTGCTTTCCTGGACATGGAGAATTAATATTTTATTTCATTTTTTGGACAACTTATTGTTATTAATTAATAAGTTTTTGGATTTCTTGTTTTTATATTGGATTAATAGTTTGATTTTCAATAGTAGTATTCGCTATATTTTAATATGTACAACCATTGAACTTCAAATGACTTTTCCATCTGCCTGAAAATCTGAGATCCTATTTCTGGTATTAATTGTATAGGTTTAAATGAATCAATTTTGCCATGATGACATTCTATTGTAATACTTATAGATTATATTTATAGCCAATTGATATTTGCATCCCATCACAGAGCATGCATTGATATATTATCATTTCTTAACCTAGCTAAAGAATTGGGCAGAAGCCACCCATAAATCAGAGTCAGCCCATCTCTCCTATTTCTTCAGTGAAACATAAGAAATAGGCTATGGCCTATTTTTGCCTGTAATTTTTGAAAATAAGCTATTACATAATTGTTTCTAGGTACCAGCAATTTCAGGAAACTTCTACCAAACATTCCAAATAAGCTTCTGAATTGTGAATTTTATCCCAGTAAACTTTAACAGAGATAAATTTTCAACATATTAAATTTTCAACAACTTAAAAATTTTCTTGTAAATTTATGAAATACGTAGTACTCTTACTTCTAGTTTCACCAGTCACAACTTAACCTACACTAGGCAGTCTAGCTCTAGGCTACACATCACATATGAATTATAGCCTACCTAGTACCTAGTAGGCTGGTAGCAGTAGCCAGTAGTAGGCTAGTCTCTTTCAACTTTTATTTAGTTTCAAGTTTTTAACTTATGCAATTGTAATATCATAGCTAATCAAACATAAAACACTTATGTTATAACTTATTTTAAAACTACAAATTAGGAGTCAACACTGAACTTGAGTGATGTGTAAAATGTACACATTACAGACTTAGGTCAGCACTCACCACTCGGCACTCAGTACTCTGTACCATGGTGCAATTCTATAGGTTATTCAAAAGAACCCGGTCTTATGTCATTTTGAACCGATCGACACTTCTTTACGGACCGAGGACCGATCATGTAACACAACCTTACCCGGCAAAAGCTTTCTTGCTTCTGAAGAAAGGGGCGGTTCGTCAGCTGAGCTGACACTGGCCGTGGGCGGGATTTGAAGCGCTGACGCAATACGACTCACCACGTATCGGATGTTGCCACACAAAGTGACGGAATATAGGGATTTGGTAGGTTTCCATTCTAAAGGCTTTTTAATAAATATGGCAACATTTTGTGACGTTTCATCGTTGCTGACGCGTAGTGAAGTGTTTTGAGACAATTGAGAGTCATGTTAAGGCAACAGAACTTACGTAACGCATACGGTTTTTTTTTTATAGTTTTTCATTTCTCGATGCGTCCTTAAAGTGTCGGAATATACCGCGTTTACCCTATTGAATTGTTCGAATTCTAAACAAAGGTGGCACGCCCGTATTCAGATGCCAGCGCTAGCAGCGGCCATCAAATGAACTACTTTATTGTTAGTATCTTCACTAATAATTTATTAATATCGTATTCTGCTTAGGCACAGTCTCTCAAAATGTTCCAGAAAAACTTTTCTATTACCAATTATTTACATTTATTTGTTTGTGGTGCAGCAAAATATTGCTTTTTTTTTGTCTCCACGTGTTCTTGTGTGTGACGTCACCGTGGGACGACATACGTCACCGTTTGTGACGTATGTAAACAGTAAACATATGGCTAGCGTGAAGATGGGAATCCAGTTTGGCATTGAAATGGATGGTTATTTGTGAATAATATTTTCGATTGTGATATTATAACATATTTCTGATTGTGAAATAATTTTGATTGTGATATTGACACTTGACAGATATTCAACATTTGAATATCGAAGTTCTAACATCATGAATTACAAGGTAAGAGTGTAAGGACTTAGCAAAGCTAGAATCATGGCTGAGGCTTAACCATAGTGGCAAACCAGAGATTTTTTAGAATCAGTTCATTTTTAATTTCCTCATTTACTCAAGATTTAAACCAATTTCTTATGTATGATAATGCTTGTATCCATGATACTTTGCTGGTCTACTTATAGGACTCAAAAATGAACTTGAGGCAGAGTCTAAAAAACTCTCTGCTTTGCCACTATGGGCTTAACCAATGTCATTGTAATTTTTTACGTCATTGTAATTAATTACTTACGTCACCAACGTAAGTAACTAAGGAATTTCCTAGTTCAAATATTTATTGATTTATTACTATCAATTTCGAAACTCCACATATTTCTAAAGGGAGTTGTGATGAGACCATGGGGATGGGGTTGAACTGTTGAGTTAAGACCATTACAACTTGCAAGAGGGGCCCAAGGGCCAACAGCATGGGGCCTTGCAAAGGGTTAAGACCGCCGCACGACGGCGGACCAATAAGTACTCACAATAATTCCCTGCCACCATGCTCTGTACTCACTCTGTCACTCACTACTCAGTAGAGACAGACAAACAGTAGGCCTAGTCAGTACTCAGTACTCAGTGGAGTACCTAGTGACTAGTGACTAGTCTAGTGTTCTAGTCCTAGTACCTAAATAGAATATTATTATCTCTCAGCATCTCTCCTACTTCAGAGAAATTCAATATTCTAACCGAATAATTTCGTAAATAGGTACGATGCCAGAACTTGAAGGTGGGCTAATAAATTATACAAGCACATATGAAATAGTGAAGTGTAAAGGACAATAATTCAGCCTTTTAGGACACAAATACTGGTTTTAGGTTGACACAAATACTGATTAAAACTAGTTAAACCCTTACCCAAACTCCAGAATGTAACCGGTATTTTCAGAAAAAAAGAAAACTTAGGGTACTTTGCGAATAAAATTTGAGTAAAATACAGACTTTTCAAAATTGACTAGTACCCATAATTTCAACCAGCGGAAATATACCGCCGAGCGGCACGTCGCTAACGTAGTTCTGAGGCAAGATGTTATTTGCGTACCTGAAAGGCAAGTTATTAAAAACTTACAAACACACTTGGGATTAACAATTCTGTTTAATGTTGGGGATGTTAATTTTTGTGTTGTCTTGACATGTAATATGTGCAAACATTTATAAACAGAAAATTAAATCTTAAATTAGAATTCTAAATGAGAATATGAAATTGTTAAGTTTTGATAAAAACTTTTATGATTTTCATGTATTACAAGCGTAAAAATACATAGGATAGTACTAAAAAGTCTCAAATATTTCATTTGATGCAAATGGTTTCTTCTTAAAAAAATTAATTGGAAGAAAAGTCAATGTACTAGTCATTAAATTATTAGTTAGCCATGAAATGGACCCTTTTGGGTCCATTTTGAAAATTCATTTTTCATGTCGAAAACGTTCATGTCGTTTTGAAAATTCATTTATCAAAACGACATGAACGGTCGTTTTGCGAGATTCATCATAAATTCGGGTACTAATCAAGGCAGGATAATAAAAAAAACGATGTGAATGTTGGAGCATGTATTTTGTTTCAGTAGGATGAAGGTAGAATTTGATGGCTGAAAAATCCCTAATGAAACAAATGCGACTGAAAATCTTCTAAAGTTCAAATCATTTACAGTTGAACTGAAGATAGTTCATGCCAGTTTAACTGATCCCAGATGCTAAAATTTCTTTAGAAAACTACAAGTCTAGAATAAATAATGAGGGTTGAGGGGAACCTGCATATTTGCTTCAATTATCTCAAGGAGGAAACCTCTTAATAGGCTCACCTGACTGCGAATCTATGGAGACATCATTTGGACAACTCTTCGGCCAAGCACTATGCTTTAGCACCAGCAACGATGCGCTTAAAATATCTCCCTAACTACTGAACAAAGCTCGGGTTATGCGCACCAGCTCATTCCAGTCGCTTCACTGCTGTAGTTGTGTCGAGTTGATTTTGGGCAAGGCTGTCTCGGACTGCGTTCTCAGTTCTTCTTGCCATCGATAAACTATAAAGTTTACGTGGTACATACCATGCAGAACAATGAATTCAATTGTAATCAGATTTATTCTTGAATTTGACATGAAATATAGTTTTTCCTCCAGCCTCAAAGCCAAGTCGTGTCCCAAATTTAAGTGCTGGAAACCGAATTATGACAGTAAAAGCGAAATTTTTTGCACATTATAATATAAAGTTATTAGAACGTGTCATTTGACCAACTATAACGCTTTGTTTAACAACAGTATCGTGAATGCCATATTTGAGAGCAATCAAGTCAAACTTTTCAGCAAGAATCATTCAGTTTTTCCTTGCGAGCAATCGTAACTGGAAAGTTTCAGTCCATGCCGTTGAAGAACAATAAGAAAATTCGACTAAAAGTGATTGCAAATTGCATAAAATGCAGATATTCTTAGATTTCAAAAGTTCCAGCAGACCCTTGAGGCTACTACGGGTAAGGCAAGGTTATGGTAGTCCAGCTACCAGTTTCCATACCATCGTACGACTGAGGCAAGCTCATGGCTGTATATAATATATCTTGCTCCAGGGCCGAATAAAACTAAATGTACAAATCTTTTCTGTAACTATTCACAAGATCCGTCTTTGAATATGTCAATCAAAGTTGTAATTCTCCCCAATTAGAATATTGTTTACTGAAAAAACTGCGCGGATGTTTTAGCTCGAGGCTTAACGATGCCGAGTCTAGGTTGCGTTCAAGGATGCCTTAGAACAGGTAATGTGAGTCGAGGAGCTGCTGATCACGGCCACGAGAGGCCTTACCAGTGTCGGGGGAAAGCTTGTCGGCGAGGGGTGATATTTTACTCTCTTTGTAGGTTCGGTCACTGGAAATTGTAAATTCAGAGCTTAGTACAACTTTATAAATTTTTCGGCTAGAGCATTCGAAATTATCTCTTCTTTTGTAGGAAAAGTGATAGAAAGTACAACCTCAAGATGGTTGTGGGAAGCGGAACGCAGAATAAGACGGTTGCAGTCGTCGGTGCAGGACTGGTGAGTGATGGCTGAATGCCAAATTAAAACACAAACAAAACTAACCAATGGTTGGGCAGCTGTTAAGAATCGGCGACAGGCCTACGGCGTACTAAACGCTGAAACAGCTATTATTATTATTATTATTATTATTATTATTATCAATATTATTATTATTATTATTATTATTATAAAACATTCTTTGAACATGATCCGTGAAAAATATATTCCCGTTCTAAGCTCAGATACCAGAAAATGAATAATTTTACTCCGTGTTCTTCTGTAAGCACTGGATTTATTGAGCTCCGGGTGTATTAACAGCGCATTTTTTACAGGTCGGTGCATTGGAGGCTTGCGTGATGGCTCAACGCGGTTATAAAGTCAACCTCTACGAATTCAGAAAAGGTGGAAAGATGTTGCTTGATATAACGAGGCTTGGAATCTAGCGAGATTTACTTTAATTTTTTTTTTTTGGATTGCAGAAATAATTTTATGTCAAAACTAACGGATAAATTAAGTTATAACAGTCGTTTTGTCGTAACTTTTATAAAACAAATTCGTTGTTAATATCTAAGAATTAAACGCTGGAATGAAAAAATTTACGAAAGAGGATTAAAAAAATGAGCAATCATTTTTCATGATTATTTTTTTGAACATGTCTTTAGATATCCGCACGCTGGAACACGTCCCAGGACGGAGTATCAACCTAGCAATGTCCGTGCGAGGTCGCTCCGCCCTCAGGAAAGTCGGAGTTGAAGGCGACATAATCGAAAGGCACGCCATCCCCATGAAGGCTCGAATGATCCATGGAACTGACGGAACCATGAACCCCATCCCCTACAACAAAGATGGTCAGGTGAGCCGACAAGGAGGATATACACAAAGTATCCCCTCAAATGGACAGAACACTTTTTCAGTCAAACGGCATGAGCAAAAAATTGTCAATAATTTAGTACAATAAGTTATTATTAAATGAACTGACGTTTTAAGGTGAGGACAAGGTTTCAGGTGATCTTGTAGTGTTAGTGATGTGAGGGTGAGCTAAATGGGCTGTGATAAAACTATTCTGTTGTATGGATGACTTTAATATGGGTATACATCATATTAAATGAGAAGACTGATTATAGTTGAATGAATTTAGCGCTATAAAAATTATCAATCATGGATAAACGAAATTTTGCTTGAAAAATCCTTAAATAACTAGATCCTGGGGATAATTTAACTCTATCAAACTATTGTATTATTTGAACAAATCAACTTAATAAATGTAAATAGCGTGAAAATGTGTCATCAATTGCGTTTTGAACCACCCATTTATTTCACAGTGCATTTACTCCGTGGGTCGTCGATTCGTTAATGAAGTCTTGCTGACGAAAGCGGAATCTTTTCCCAATGTCACGTGCCATTTCGAACACCAGCTCACGTCCATCAACTTGGATGAAAGACGCATGATTTTTACAAAGTAAGATCCAAATTATTTCTGGGCTTTCATCAAGCACAAGTTTTTTAATGTCTCGTATAGTCTCTTAAATGAATCAGCACTTAGTCTCTTAAATGACATATCAATCAAAATTGACAGAAATGAAATGCACCAAAATTTTACTGAGAGTATTTTGATTTTTAGTTTGAAGGTTCTCAGACAAGCACTACCCACAACGTGGAAGGTTGGCCCAGTGGTTAAAGTTCAGGGTAACAAGATTGTAGCTTTGATTTGTGGTTTCGAATCCCAGCAACCTGTAAGAATTCTGCGATGCTTGTAATTGGCGACAGGGCAGATTTGGCCTATTCAGCGTTGTAATCACTTTAAATATTACTACATAAACCATTCTTTGTAGTCCCAGCTCGAAAGAAAGGACAGAAGTAACGGCGGACCTCATCATCGGATGCGATGGCGCGTACTCCGCAGTGCGGAAGGAGATGCTCAAGAGGCCGCAATTTAACTACTCTCAGCAGTACATACCGCACGGCTACATGGAGCTCTGTATTCCACCAAACTCTAATGGAGAGGTCCAATAAATAGACAGGCAGCTGTCAAGTGATATTATTTTGTTCGATCATATTAGAAGTGGATATATGATTACATGAAACATTCTTGTTCAACGATTCATGTGAACTCAATTCCCGAGTCCCAGTGTCGAATTTCAGTTTCGGGTTCATTTGGCAATGATAATATACATTTTCAATGATGCAACTTGCATCACGCCGTAATTGTTTCTAAATATAGACTCAGTTTATCCTGAATGACTATTGTAATATACTTTTCTGATCACTATGTCATGGAACGCCAAAATTTAGTTCATAGTAACATACATTTTGGGACTGATTTTCTTCTTTTTGCGCTCAAACTTACAATCGCAGTTACGAGTTATCCATCAACTCCGCGCACCAAGTGAAAGTTAAACAATATTGACTATCCTATAAACTAGCCTTCAATATTCTAAGTGCTTTATCTGCTAATCTTTCAGTTCGCCATGCCGGCAAACTACCTGCACATCTGGCCACGAGGGAACTTCATGATGATCGCTCTGCCGAATCAAGACCGGTCCTGGACGGTGACGCTCTTCATGCCCTTCCCTATTTTCGACTCGCTCAACTCCCCTGCTAAACTCATTGAATTTTTTACGGTAATTTCAAAATCTGGCCGGTTTTATGCACTGTTAATTTACGGGTTATTCTAAAATACTGGGAACACTATATATTGGATAATCGTATTGTTTTGACTGGTTGTAACTAATCAAAACCTGATATAGTTTAGTAATAGTTAGTTTAGTTGAATATATATAGTTTAGTTTAATGCTTTTTGTTAACTAATGCTGTTCACAAAATTTATTTGAAAAAATTGTTCTTCGCAGCTATTGAAAAATAATTGGCGCAAATCTTACGAATGCCGTAAAAAAGTCAGGCTACCAAAAGAGGTCAAATTGTTTATATCCGCTGTAGTGTGACAGAAACTGGTCGAAAGCTTGGCGATTATAGAAGGAGTGCTTAGTAATGATTGTTGTTGAGATAAGATGAAAATTATCCTCTGCGGAGCACAGTTCAGGCCTAAAGTCAGGCTTGTCTGATAGCCGTCAAACTCTGGGACAAATTCCCCAGGAAGGACTCCTGGAAACAGGATCCTATAATATCGCTACTGAGGAATGAACGCCTATACATAATCAACCTCCACACACACGTTTCGTTGGGGGCGCAAATCTGGATTTTATAGCGAAGGAGCAGTAAAAAGTCTTCTTAATTCAGAAATAAATTCTCCAATTCGCTTACTATGTAGCAGTAATAATATCCTAGATGGATCCTCGAAAAGTGAAAAAAAAAAAATTTTTATCATTGCTGTTATTCCCTTTAAAAATGATCAACTTTTGAATTTCTATAGCCGAAATTATATCAAATGAAAAGAAAACATTCATAATTAAGTTAAAAACATTGAAACAGTTGCGTCATTATAGGCCTATTTTAGGGGATCTATTTAGGGGGCTCTTAGATCCGGTTAATTCATTAAAATTACTCATTTGTACAAAGATTCAAAGGCACGAATTAAGTATCATGTTGCCTCTATATTGTTAGTATTGTAAACATACAGTACCGTCTGTCTGTTGCTATTGTACTGTACTAAAGATGTTGTTAGCTGAATGTGCTGTACTATATAAATATGTTAGCTGATTGGGGAATTAAACGTTCGTTCACATTCTGTATATCTTCTGGGCGCTTAGCTCTTCCTTAACTGACGCCCCGGCATTGATATTGGAGTGTGTGACATAGCTACTCCAATAAAAATTGGTCATACTGTATGTCCAATTTTTATTGACATTTTAGACGTATATGAGGATAGATAGAAAGGTGTTACTACCGTTGCGTCTTAGCTCGGGGTTATAAATATAATAATTTCGAGCTAATTGATTTGCAATTTTAGGGGAGGGTGGCCCAGTGGTATGAAGTTCAGAGTACCAGGATTGGAGCAGAGAGGCGCGGGTTCGATCCCAGCTCCGTGCGCCAGTTTCTGGTCAGAATCGGCAAGGAGGCCAAGCAGTTAAGCAAAGCAGAATTGTGGCAGTGAGTTGCGGATTCGAGACCGCAAACGCTGTGAATGTTAAATGAACGTTAAAAATCGGCGACAGCGTTTTGTAGGAACCGCTATTAATTGCCAAAAAACAAAAACAAACAAAAAATATAATTTTATGTTGGAGTAGGTTCCATACTGGTAGTTTTCATAGTTGATGAAACAGCTTGAAAGATATTTGTCCTTGCTATCGTAACCTGGAAATAATTTAGCATAAGATTTAATATTTAAACTCAAAACGAGAACCAACACCAGAGGCCACGGCTATAAGCTAAAAAAACTGCGCTGCAACTTCTCCACGCGACAAAATTTCTTCTCGCTTCGAATCACCGACATGTGGAACAGCCTCCCCAATGACATCGTTGGCGCTCCAAGTATGAACGCGTTCAAGAACAGACTAGATAAAGCTATGGAAAAATATATGCTCAGATTTGAAATGCCTAACTCCTTATCGAACCCGGTGGAAGTCTAGTAGCTACTTCAAACTATCGCCAGTCATGAAAAGATCCGGTCAAATGACACGAGTTTAGATCTATGAACAAGGCACGAAAAGGAAAAGAATCGGCGACAGGCCACATCAGGCCTACATTTTCAGCGCCGACATCACTATGTTTTGTTATGTTATTTAGTAACGTTATTTTATTTTTCAGCGGTACTATCCCGATTCCATCCCCTTGATCGGAAGAGAAAAACTCATCAAGGACTTCTTCGCGAACAAAGCCCTACCCATGATCACAGTTAAGGTGAGCCCCTTTCATTTTGTATACCTTATACAAGAAATTCTATATTGTTTCAGCACCAATTTAAAAGGAACAGTGTTGCTGTTTTGTCCGTACTGAAGTGCTGTGATGGATGCCGATCTATGCAATATCCAAGGGAAGGACAGTAAGCAATCACAGACATATTATTGCATCTCAAATCATGGCTAATTATTAAACTCGGCAAGCTTACCTTCACAAATGCAACTGTTACACAAATTTGAATTAAACAGGTATCTCAGATAAAAATATTGTACTAATGACATGAAGAATGTGATCTTTCTAAAACTTAGTCATTGTTTTTAAATCTCTTTAATGACTTTTGAGCGATCTTGAGAAAAACTAAAACCATTCTTGATAGTCACGTTGCCACTTGAGATATCCTTCAGTGTAATAATATCCTCGTCTAATATTATTCTGAATAATTCAATACGACAAATGCCTCGTTAATTGAATTTCTATCATAATGTTCTCGGAACAATATTATCTTAGTTACAGAATTTCAGAATTTTGTCGACGGTTTGCAGACCATGCTTAACAACTTCAAATATTGTTCGTTAAAATTTTCTGCAACTTAAAAAATATTTGACTTTGCGGCACCAGTGCTCTCCTTACCACGTGGGGGGATCCTGCGTCATCTTGGGAGACGCGGCGCACGCCATGGTGCCTTTCTATGGCCAGGGAATGAACTGCGTGAGTGATGCCTGCACTCTATACTGATATTGCAAGGATTGTTGCATGTCCATACTGCTTCCCATACTATAGTAATGATGTTACATAGCTTATTGCATACCCATATTGCTTCCTATACTATAGTAATGATGTTACATAGCTTATCACATATAGCTAGTTGACGTTTTCTCTCTATTGCGGATGTTACATAATATATAGATTTCATTAGCAAATATGTGCACTATTCTTCTTAGCGTAATTCAGTGGTTTAAACAGTATCAAATTTAAGTAACAATCTTTCCTAATAGTCAATGAAATTCACCGTAGGAATAGTGTTAGTCTTAATCGAATATGCAAACGGTATTGAGAGCTTTATCAAAAAAATTTCCATCGAAAAACTGTCATTTCCGCATAACTGGACATATAATTGTATTCTTAAGTTTTGTTGTATATGCTGGATAAGTTGGCTCTGCAGTTCCTAATGAAAGAATGGTTGGTACACAGGGCATGGAGGACTGCCTGGTGCTAGACGAGATTCTGACTCAACACAGCGAGGACCTCAACGCTGCCCTGCCTGCTTACAGCGTCAAGCGCAACCCTGACGCTGAAGCCATCGTCGACCTCGCCATGTACAATTATGTCGAGGTAATGATCTGTCAATAATTTCATTTTAAACAATTAATTACTTGTTTAATTTATTTTTTGACGCAGCACTAGCATCTGTGTCTGCGATTAAGTCCTCTTTATACCAGCTCCTCACACACAGTACTTATGAAATTACATTTGTTCTCTTCTAGAAATGATCATTTGCTTTTTTGAATGAGTCACACGCGCTCTTTTCCAAAAGCATCTATTCATCTCTCGAGTCTCTCACTAAATAAAAAAAAAGAGCCGCTGATTGGCTTGGTTCTCTAAAAAAATTGTTAATTTGTTAAAATGAGTGACTCAATAAATTCTAGTCACTCTAGTGACTAGTGTAACTTAAATCATCTATAGTGTAACTGTCTTAAAAGTTTAAAACTCCAACGCGTCACACTTATAATTTAAAAAAAATTTCGAGAAATTTATTTTGCATTAAGCGTAAATTTTGGTGAGTTACGCGCACAAATTAAAATTCTTTCGATTTAAGATTCAATTATTTTAAATTCATTTTTTCGAGACTAATAACTGGCGTTAATTGTAATAGGTGTCACTGAGTTCTATTACCTATATTCGATACGTAGCAGATACGATCTGTAGCGTCACGTCTTTCATTTGTTTGGATTCCATTTAATTTCCGATTAATTTATATTTACCTCGCGTTTAATTGTTTTATATCCTTACGCATTCCTGTAGATGCGGGACTTGGTCAATTCACGACTCTTCCTGATCCGGAAAAAAATCGACAACGCTCTGAATGTTGTGTTCCCTCGCTCATGGGTGCCTCTCTACACCATGGTCACCTTCTCCAGGGAACCTTACCACAGCTGCATCCTCAAGAAGCGTTGGCAGGATAAGGTAACATTCCAAGCATTGCTCTTCAACTTCCGAATCCGCAGTTATTAATTTTTAAAGAATATTTTTCAATTATGCTGAAGGTTATTAATTTTTTAAAGAATATTCTTCAATTATTATGAAGAAATGACTAATTGAATTTTTTGTATTAGTGTTTTTGCAATTTCGTTGATTAATAAAAATATTTCGAAACATAATCGTGATTTTCCATGACATATTGCTTGAAAAATTTGGATTTTCTATTGAGTAATGCGCTTTAAAATATTAAAAGGTCGCGAACATGTCAAAGCTTATACTTGTATTTAATAAACGTCAATTAATCCGCACCATCTCTCTCTAACTTTTATTTAGAAATTAAATCATAGATTTGTAATTTCAATGCCAGGTGCTACGTTTGGCGAGCGTGGCTGCAGTTGGTACCACAGCTGGTGTAGTTGCGGTTGTCATCCGACGTAACCAGCCGAGCCAGCCTCTGGACACTCTCTTCACAGCGGCATCTCAAGCGCTCTCAGTTCTTAACAAAACTTTGGGTCATTTTTCTTCGTGAACTACTTCCTAGTGTTGTACTGAACGTTGGTAAAGAAAAGGAAAGTCTGCAAATTTAATTAGCTCACTCGATTTATTCATCCACAATAGAATGAGTCAGTGAATTCTCGTTGTATTCATCTATTCGAATAACCGAATTAACTTGGGGTCGATTTCTTCATTCAGTGGTATAACTGAATGAATTCTTTCGATTAATTCATCCAATGGTATCACAGGATAAACTCTCTCGATGAATTCATGTAGTAAAAAACAATTTTCAAATCGATCGCCGTATAATTAAATACTGAAAGGATGACGTTCTGAAGTAGTGCTGCGATCAGGATGTACTTAATAGAAGTATCCTGCAAAAATTATATTCGAGACACGAGCTTCAATTTTGAATTTATTTCTCATGTATTGAGTAATAATGGCAACTCTATAGCTCACTTAGCGTACAACGGGTTTCAGGATTTCTATCCTTTTGCTTTTACCGATACCTATAGATACATTCTAGCTTGCAATTACATGATTGAATTAAATTTAGTTTCGGTATTAAAGTATTAAATCCAGTTATACAATCTATATGATATTTTATTATGCTAATAAATATATTCTCTAATATTTGAAAGCTGAATTACGATGTCTTACCTATAATTTTAGTATTTAATGTCAGTAGATGGGGATTATTTTGTGTGGGCTGTTGTTGGTGTGCAGTTTTACTAATAACAAATTATGAGCACTTAGCAGTGAAACATTTCTAGACAACGTCGTTTATTGACTCATTTTGAATGCGTACTCTATTGCTGTTGTTAAAGTGTATGTGGATCATTCACGTATCTGGCGTTCAGTAAATAAAATCATCTAGTAATTCATGATTTTGTTGAATTCAACTACCGTTGTTTGAGAGATAAAAGGTTAGAACAATTCCAGTTAGAAAGGGAAATAATATTGCATTGAGCCCCGTTACTTATTAATTGCAAATATTTTATGATTTAATTTGTAGACTAAAATATTTTAGCAAGGGCCCGAATCATGAAGAAAGTACATGGATGGTTTTACCGGGTCCTTCGTTTTTATCAAATTTGTTGAATCCCAAGTCTTGGGGAAGCTTGAATTGAATCCCGCGTACAATTGTTTCTTGCGCGACTTATTTGTTCACTGCTGGAATAGATTAATGGACACATAGAGATAAAATTAAAGTACTTATCCAGTTAGTTTGGCAAGAAAGATTATGCTTATTTACCCGCTAAATATAAATTAAAGATATTGAGAGTTTCAATTTGCTACCCGATTCCAATATCCCAATTTTGTCGTCCGTACATGAAGTGAAACTCGCGCCAGGGTGTGGAAGCGATCGTGCGAGTTCCTAATCATTTAGAGTCTTTTATGTACTTCCTTAATATCATTTAGGACTTCTTGCCATTTATACGAGTCATGCTGGTAATGGTAAGAATTACCCTTCCTGGTTGAATGAGTACACTTTTTTGTGACCACTGTTGCAATATGAAAAACTACCTAATTGAATGTCGAATTTAATCTGGACTTCCTCTATATCCAAAACCACCTAATAGATTTTTGCTGCTCTAAATAGTTATTTGACTTAATGGTGAATTGTCCTTGGTGCACTCGATGAGGTTATATTCAACATTTGTTACTCTATGTTCATTCATAATACATTCGTTTTAATCATGCCTTGACAATAGTTCTTAACACATTTTCATTCCAACAAAGCTTCCCTACATTATATCTTCTCAATCGCGTCACATATATGTCGTTCATCCTGAACTTGAATACCAAAAAAATTATACAAATGGATTGTATGTAAATAATACCGTACCAAGGCCCTCAAGTTGAATATTAGGCTCGAGCACATATCTGTTTACGTAAATTCATAATTTCCACAATATTTTTAGCTCATATAAAATAATGAATGGTGATAAGTTACATTAATCGGAAGGCTTAAATTTGTGCTCAATAAGGATCTCTCGTAGAAAACCATAGCGTATATAACCTCTTTCGTTATAGGTCGATGCAACGGCACGTAGGTAATACCAAACAATAGTTTTACTACTAATTATCCCAATTATTTAGATATACCATACGTCTATAGCTAGCAGGTGAGATAACTAAATTTCCAGGATTAGCCTCTGTAGATTCTTGCTTCCATGCAACTGCTGAAGGGAAAGTGGTTTGACTGGACCAGTTCTAGTGAACGGAGGATTGTAGTAAAGAAGTCCTCATCGTATCGTCATGGGGGCCCAGAGTGACATTTTTCTACCATACAAAGAGTTCATTTTCAATAATAGCTAATACCTACGAAAACAAACCAATCATTATCACATTTCTTTATGTTTTCAGCATTGAGAGCGAGTCAAGACACTTCAGATAGGTATATTTTAGATTTGATCTTTGGTTTTATTCATTCGTGAAACAAACATAATGATGGCAAAAGTCGAACATTTCCTTTCGGGTTCATGAGTTCAAGTCTGCCGTCACGATTATCCTCAGACCGATGAAAAAATGTGGATTTGACCGTTAGTCAGACGCAACGCTGGCCCTCATGGAAGAGTTTTCATCCAAAAATTTTCATGATTTACGGTAATGAGTTGTGCGTAATGTCCGCTGCGCAACACGAAAAACTTGCTTGCTACCCGGAATAACGTGATTGCTAGGACCTGCTTCCTGGGACCTGGAATAAAGGGCCTGACCTGAAGCAAATAATAATAATTGGAAGCAAATAATAATAATAAATAATGAAGCAAATAATAATAATAATAATTGGAATAATTGGACTTGAAGCAAAGTGCGTGCTAGGAGCTGAAATAACGTGCCAGCTCTGACTTGGAGCAACGTTGTCTGCTAGGACCTGAAATAGCATGCTTGGACCTGAAATGACATGTCTGCTAGGACCTAAAGTAACATGACTGCTGGGACCTGAAGCCACCTGCCTGTAATTAACTGAAATAACGCGCCTGCTTGCACCCGATCCTATTCGGCGCCTCGTTTTCCCGCGCCGTGCTCGGCTTCCGCAAGACCTACGATGACTCGGCACTTTCATGGCAAGCCCGGGCAGCGGTGCATGTCTGGTGATCTTTAAAACGATGCAGAAATAAAAACTGGTCCAATATTCTAACTATAGAGAAAGAACTGCAATGAGAATAAAAACATAACCTTCAATGCCTAGGTTTGCGATCGCTTATCGTTTGTTTATTTGTGAATAACTTTACATTAAGAGATCGAATCTTGAGGTCAATCTTGAAACTGGTCTAGGGGCAAATACACGTGGAATAATACAATCTAACACAATGCATATATATAAATAACAAACTGTAATTAAAGCACATTATGAATATAACACTAATACACTCTTAACAGACACACGTGGTTTAATACACTTTCAGTTTTCAAAGGTCAAGGCTTGATTCTTGGGTGTGACATGTGGCAAATCACGGCATTAAGAAGTTCCCCGGATCGCACTCTAGCGGGTAACCGGAATGACTGAGCAAATCCGTCACTATTATTTTGGTCTTTCCAGCTTTTGTTACGTACAAAAACTAGTCAAATAATGTGCTTGTTCCGCCTTGGGCTTGGCAAATTGGCTTGCTTCCGCCGCACTTGAGGGCGTTTTGCGGCAGCTTAAGCTTGCAGTCTTGGATTAATAAGCGGCGTTCAAAATAATTCTACCAGGAACTATGATATGTTAATATGTATGTATTCACTTGATACTTTGTTATTTGTTAGCAACTTATGAAGGACGAACTGTAATAAAATCATAGTAAGAAAATAAGCAATGTTTAATGTCTTTTTGTTAATTATATTATCACAAATGGAAGATTTTTGTGTTCATCAGAAAATTAAAAGCTGTTTTCGTAAATAGTTCTTGACTAATTGTTATCCTATCGATCCTAAGAAAATTAATTTATAATTGTTGATTAATTTAATTATTGATGATTGAATTACTTACTCTTAAATGAATAATTTTCAGATATTTTTATCGATCAAACAACGTTTCCAAATCATGACTTGCGTCAACAACTGGTTTTTTTTACTTCCACCTCATGCAAGAAAAGTAACTGACCTCTGTTGTAATACATAAAAAAAATGGAATAAACCATTTTCGGACAATTGGGACTCTGACCTTTTCAGAAAGTCGATAGAAACAACGCACATGCAAGGTTCAGTAACCTGGGCACAAAAGACTACATTTGATTGGTAGTTTTTTCTTCATCCATAATCTGCTCGCTGCGAATACATTTTTGAGCGAATAGTAATGAGATGTTGAGTAGCCGGTCCTTCATATGGAATCATTATTTTCAACATTCAATGAGCGTCAACACAATGAATCCCATCCTAGCAACATGAATTCCAAAACATCACCTGCACACGATGGAAGAAGGTCATTGCGCAAGCCTATATTAAGCAGAGGAAACCGTTGACCTTTTAAGATATCTTGTAATTTTTGTGTAAGAATGAAAGCAGAAAACGAATGAGTCTAGATAGTATTTGTGCCCAAAATAAATATAACACAAGTATTCGCGTATATTCGTAATTATTACATTTTTCTTATCAGGGCTCATGGATTGCGGTCGCATTCCTGATATGATATTGAACAAATGAAGTATAACATTATGTTGCGTAACAATTACTGTAGTCAAGATACACAATCGTATAAGATTGGTAAGAACTTTGCGCGAAGTTGGATGGATCACAGGTCGTGTGATGACGGTTGCGGCCACAGTTCATTGGTGACCTACGAGTCGAGATCAACTATCAAACCGGTCCTGACTTGTGGTTTTTGCGCTAAAAGCTGTCGAGTCATTGTAAAGAATAAAGGTAGTAGGATCACCATGCAGGTGATTTTATTTAGCTTAACATTAATGAAGAAATAGAATAATTTCACTTTCGTTACGAGGTTGTTGGATCAATAATTATTAAAGGTATCGCACGGCCCTGGGCATAACAACAATAATTGATTGTGATTCCCATGAGTTATCAAGCTGAGTTCAAGGTGAAAATTACTTTAAATTGTTAAGAGTTACAATGGAGACGCTTATATTCAAAGAAGCCAATCGCATCATTGAAGGTTGCGCGATTATGAGACGTGAAACTTTTTTAACATCATAATTACTGGCAACCTTAACCTCTTGCTGCTGCTCTCCGTATTTCTCGGAGCTGCCGATCGCACGAGGAAGGTGACATCCGTTATTGGAGGGAAGAAGCTGACCCCGTCTGAGGTTACCTGCTCAGTACCATGAGGGGGGAAACATTGGTGTTGGAAAATTCTGGAGTGCAATTTTATATTTACTTGTGTCATGAATATGCACCGCCGGAAGCCTTGTTGTACAAGCGAATGATAAATTTATTGACAGTCATAAAAATTATATGTCAGTGATCTCTTTAAAAATTATCATTATAACTACAATTCTTCATACTGAATTTGCTCGATCAGTTGTTGCTCGATCAGTTGTTGCTTTAACTAAGTACGTCTTACTTGCTGAATTTTTATGCAATTCAAGCTGCTAAAGTTATTAGGTTCATTTAGATGTTAGAATGCAGCAAAGGAAAGTTGCACTAGCAAAACAATAATTTTCATTCTCATTTTCCATTATTCGAAATTTTAAAATTAAAGTTGAAATCGAAAGTGTAGTTGAGCGATGGCTACAAAACTCAAATTCACAAAATCAAAATGGGATGCTCGTGAACATGACCATTTTTGAAGGCATAGATAATGCTTCTAGACTGTATCGTAGAAAAATCAGTGAGTCGTTTAAACGTGACGGAAAAATACCAGTGTCGCTATAGAAAACAACAAATGAGTAAAACTATCAGGTGAGACGAGGATTCCAAATGTTGAGGCAACTAATGACTTTTTGTAACGCAAGAATCTTGTGAAAGTGGCCCCTCGATCGCGACGAACCTAAACAGGATATTTCTACACCAGGTTAAATGATTGAAAAAAGCAGTGCATGCATGTCGAGGGCATGTGGTCTATACTTTACATTTATTCCAGCTGATGTACATTGCCAACCCGACTTCATTGTTTGAAAAATTCAAAAATCGTGTCGTTGAAAAGTTGTGTAATCAAATTTCTTATTTGTGTGTTACCGTAGAAACATTTCATTTTTTTTATGCGCGGAATGTTTCGGAAGGTGTTGTTCTCGACGTTGATCCTGAACCGTTCAGATTGTAATTGAACATTTTATTGAAATATTATCAAGCTTGCGACTCCAACCTGTCAATTTTTGCACATGCAAAGGAAAAATTAGCTGTTTTATGATCTATTGCAGTTCATAAATTTAATTACATTCATAAATAATACTAATGTTAGACCTCCATACACTATATAAAAAGTGACTTTTCATAATTTAGGAATGCCCTAAATCGAAACAGAATTTTCAGGAAATCGATATATTTAAAGAATAATTAACTACAATACAATTGACTTGATTTTTCGCTGATTCACAACTTCCGATAATCTATGTCGTGAAGTTTCTGTTGTAGTGCTCATGTATACATAGCATTCCGTACTATATAGTTATGCTAGCACGTTACTTCGTACTTATTAGAAACCGCTCGCCTCAATTGTACGACTAAGATCTAGAACTAATCTCTTTAAAAATATCCTGTATATATAATTAGTGTCTATATGTGTAAGACATTCACATATGAATATATTCCCTTGAGGTTGCCG